ATTGGGCATTATGGCGGTGTGGCAAGACTCAATCCTCTCTTCAGTGAAGACACATGAAAACCCACTTGGAATTTGCAAAAAAGCACCTAAAGGACCTTCAGACTGAGAGAAACAATATTCTCTGGTCTGATGAACCTCAATTCCAAACATCATGTTTGAAGGAAACCAGCTCTGCTCATCACCTGCAGAGTGCCATCCCAAAAGTAAAGAGTGCTGGTAGCAGCCTCATGCTGTGGATCTGTTTTTCAGCGGCAGGGACTGAGGAACTCGTCAGAGTAGAAGAAAAGCTCAATGCACCAAAATATTGAGATAGCCTTAATGAAAACCTAGTCTAGAGCATTCAGAACCTCAGACAGAAGGTCTGAAGAAGGTTCACCTTCCAACAGGACAATGAACCTAAACACACAGCAAGTAAAGGTGCTTCAGCTAAATATTTAGTTACTTATGCAATGTACTAATTTCTTTTATTTTTTTTTTATCAATTTACGAGGTTGTGACAATTCTGTTTTTGCTTTGTCGATATGGTGCATGGAGTGTAGATTGATATGGGAAAAAAAGTAATTTAAAGCAGTTTTACATAAGGCAGGAACATAACATGAAAAAAATGAATACTTTCGCAAGGCACTGTACATATGTAATAGACTCATACAACTTTTGAGTAGTCTCCAGCTGAATGTTGTCTATCTGGCAGTTGCTTTAGAGATGTTGAAGAAGGGAATCTGCTTCTCACTTATCTCTCCAAAACTGCCCACAGTGGTTTGACAATGCTCAAGTCAGGTGACTTGTCTGGCCAGGGCAGAGGTCTGTGTTGTGTTTTTTTTTTTTTGTGGAAACAGGATCTTCAAGGGGAATATTGAGGTTTGCTGTCACGTTGCAGCTGTAGTTCTGTATTGTTTGGACACACTCAGTGGTTTGACAGTGCTCAAGTCAGGTGACTTGTCTGGCCAGGGCAGAGGTCTGTGTTGTGTTTTTTTTTTTTTGTGGAAACAGGATCTTCAAGGTGAATATTGAGGTTTGCTGTCACGTTGCTGCAGTAGTTGTGTTGTCTGGACACAATTCTTTTTAAGTGCTCAACAGTCCCTATCATCTGCTTTCAGTTTTCACCCACTATCTTTCTTCACTAAAGTCTCGCCATGCTTTGTGTACGCAGTCATAATCGTGAAGACTGTTGTTCTTTAAACACCAAACAATTGAGTCACAAATATAATTACAAATGCTCCTGCTAAACAGGCATCCATGATTTGTCCTACACAATTTATATTAACCTCTATAATAATAGGTGATCACATTATTTTATCCAACTCCTCCATGGCATGTGTATGTATGATTTGAGTAAAGTTTGGGCACAAGTTTGGGCACAAATATCTGCACTCTCGGATAGTGAATGAGATCCACTGTGGGAGGAAAAAGGATCTAATAAAGAGAAGAGCACACAACTCCAACACAGACAAACTAACTGTCAAACTAACTTCCAGGATTGTAGAAAGTTTTATGCAAGTAATTCCACAAGCGAGACTTTAAGTTTATTCATATAACCAGGCTAACACCTCCGTAATGTGTCAAATCAGTCATTCGCCAACGAGAATGTAATGATACGCTTCTCCCTGTCTGCATAAGAGTGAGTCATGCGGGGAGGCCCCTCCTCACCCCCGGGGCCCACGTGCGTCTCTCATTCGGCGGTTTAGAGATCACTGGCGTTCCTCACCAGAGGCTTGGCCACACGCCTGTCAGTGCCTGATGGATGGCGTGACACCCAGCCGCTACCCTGTCATCTTTGCCACTGAATGGGTAAGAGAGAGCGACAAGAGAGTGGGATGTAAGAATCTGCATTTTAAAGGAATAATTCACCTAAAAATGAAGACTTATTTACTCACCTTGTTGTCATTTCAAATGTAAATTATGTTCTTTCTTACTTGGAAACAAAACAAATTTGGGATAATATGTTGGCAATATTTTCAATATGTGAATAAGGACTCAGGCTGTCAAGCTCCAAAATGACAGAAAAAAGCGTCATTTAATTTTTTGGCAAACTATTCCTTTAAGGGAAAGAGATAAATAGGAAAAAATAATGAGAAAGAGCGAGTGAGGCAATCGAGGGCGAGAAGGAGAGACCCTTGTACTGTGACTTCAATGTGGCTGATTCGTTCTGCGGGCTAAGTTAGATTGCAGAGAGCGCGTGGGTGTCCATCAGTTTGCCTGCCTGTCAGAGCCTGGTGACAAGGCCAGGGCTGGCTGAACAACACGAGGAAAGAAAAGACGAGCAAAAGAGAAACACTTTTATGAATCTTCATGGAAATGAACCTTTGGGGGAGGGTCTGGACTATTTCCCCCATCCGGCCTCCCTGTCAGTGTAACCCTCATGGTTAACATGCAGTTGATCACAAAGTCCAGCCAATCAAAACCAAGAGGCAAAATAACCATGTTCATGCATCTTGTATGAACCAGCAGCCTGATTTTCTCACATGAAACCCAACAATTGTAAATTCACCACATCTGCAATCACACATGCAATAGATTTCAGACTCTTTAGCTGTGTTCACTCGTTCACTCATTCCTAAATAGTTCATGGCAGTTGAGTGCACTATATCAGAAAGGAGTGAACGAAATAAGTGAATAGATTCGGACGGTGACATATACACTGCGCGTGAGACTTGGAGCTGTTGCAAAAACATCATCACATATGTACTTTTATATTACATGTACCTTATTTTAGAAAATAATATTAATAGCAATAACACTCAAAATGACTTTATATTGTAATTATACATACCTCCGCGTCAGCTTTGTGGTTTCATCGATGGTATATTATTAATTTGTTTTGTAATGCTTTTATGTTCATAATCATTCAATACTATTAAAATACTGAGAACAAAAATAAACACACATTAACACATGTTCATAATTTTATGTATTTATTATTTTAGTATCTTGACACTCTCCCGAGCAGCGTTTTGAGCTCAGATAAGATAATGGTCGTAGAGCGCCCTCAGGCGACCGTTAATTTTACATCAGAATGAATAGGCTACCTACTGTGATTAACTAACATTTTTAAATTATCCACCAAATTATCATCATTTTTGTAAGTTAACAACGATGCCACCTCAGTAAATTAGTAAAATATTAAACTGAGTTACTGCCTACATAACATATTTTAATATAAATAATGTATGAAATAAACGTTAAAGCAGAAATAATAAAGATGTAAACGGCATCTCAGAATCAGAATCAGAATCAGAATTAGCTTTATTCGCCAGGTGTGTGCAAACACACGAGGAATTTGTTGTGTTTTTTTTAAGGTGCTCCTGGTACATACATACATGCATACATACATACATATCTGACGTGAGAAAAAAATAAATAAAAATTAAATAGTAAAAACTTAACAATAAATAATGTGTATGAATCTGGAACAGTAGATTTATGTACAGATTTGTGCATTATTTACTCTATATAGAACTGTATAAATAAAGAGATATGCATATGTATTTACATAATACTTGAGAAAGAGGCAATAATTAAGGATGTAGAATGATCAGTGTGTATTTGGCCTGTTTGTACAAGTCTTTGTCCCCACTCCTGTAGGCATCCTCTTTGGCCAGAGTAGTTTAACTTTGCCACTCTTATCTCCCTATTCAGTGTGTATTTGGCCTGTTTGTACAAGTCTTTGTCCCCACTCCTGTAGGCGTCCTCTTTGGCCTGGCGAAGCTGTTTGAGTTTTGCACTTAACCAAGGTTTGTCGTTGTTAAATGTTAAATAAGTCCTGGTGGGAACACACATGTCCTCACAGAAACTGATGTAGGATGTCACGGTGTCAGTAAGCTCATCCAGATCAGTAGCTGCAGCCTCAAAAACACTCCAATCAGTAAGTTCGAAGCAGGCCTGTAAATCCTGCTCTGCTTCAGCAGTCCTTCTCTTTACAGTTTTCACTACAGGCTTAGTAGATTTAAGTTTCTGCCTGTAGGCTGGTAGAAGATGAACCAAACAATGATCAGAGAGTCCCAGCGCTGCTCGGTGGACAGCGTGGTATGCTTCCTTTAAAACAGTGTAGTTGTTCTGTGTGTGTGATCTTGATTGGCCAACAGTTCTAGCGCGGCGCTCACTCGCGCGTCAGGAGGAATGTACACACTCACCAGAATAAACGAGGAAAACTCCTGCGGTGAAAAAAAAGGCTTACAGTTAATGAAGAGAGCTTCCAAATTTGGGCATCACATCTTTTTTAAAACTGTCACGTCTGTACACCAGCCTTCATTGATATAAAAACATAATCCACCGCCTCTCGTTTTCCCCGATAACTCGGTGACGGGGTCCGCTCTGAACAGCTGGAAGCCCGTTAGATGTAACGCGCTGTCCGGGATGGCTCCGTTCAGCCAGGTTTCCGTGAAGCAGAGCGCAGCGGAGTTTAAAAAGTCCTTGTCTGTGCCGGTGAGGAGTCGTAGTTCGTCTGATTTATTTGCTAGGAAGCGGAGATTCGCCAGATGAATGCTCGGCAGCGGAGTCCTAAAACCGCGCTGTCGGAATTTCACGAGCGCGCCGGCGCGCTTCCCTCGCTTGCGTCGCCTGGAGCGCTTGTATAGGAACGCAGCTCCTCCGACTAAAATGTCCAGTAAAACATCTGAATGCTCAAATGTCGGCAGAAAGTTATTTGGTGTGCTATTTCTGATGTCCAGGAGTTCGTTCCTAGTAAAGCTGATCGGGAAAAAATTGCTTAAAACAGGACAAACAAACAAAAAAAGTACAAGTACCAAGTAGCGACAAACCATGGCTGCCATCAGCGGCGCCATCTTGCAATCAGAATAATCTCTCATTCAAACTCGCTCGCTCCCGCTCTCGCTTCCAGCTTGTTGGTTCTCCGCATTGGATTGTGGGAAATAGTGCTTCAGCGAGTGTACATCGGTTGTACACTCGAAATCAGAATGCATTGTGGGTAAATAGTAGTGGACGAATGTAGGGAATGAAGTCGTTCACTCAGAATTCGGACAGCACTACAAAATGGCTGACACCCGATATAGTGCACTATATAGTGGATAGCAAGCGGTTTCGGACACAGATTTTGTCTGGAAAACCCTGTGATGTCACTGATTTTTGTACAACTGAGCTGGAAATATAATAACTGTTCCAGTAATCTGACGACTAATTCTTACGATTGGAGAGAGAAACTCTTTCGTTTTAGCATCTGTCCAATTTGATGACATTTCTGTCTGCGACATACTGTATAGATAATCATGATTTTCAACTTCACAGACTTACTATTAAACGGCGCGTAAGCCTGTGAGTAATCGTGTCAGCTCCTTCAGAACTTGTGAAGTGATTGACTAGAACTCTTTGACAGCAGACGTCTGAGCTTACTAGCCTTGTATATGCTCCAACAGTTAATCTTACAGCTTTGTTCACTCTTATCATTTATATAGACCTTTTTTTCTGGCAACTTCTTAAACTGGCAAATTGCTGCAGCGGCATCTGGTACTGTAGAGTTATTCTGATGCAACTTCACAAAATAAGTGATTATGGAAAAAATACAAATGGAAACAAAGTACTCATTGAAAAAAAAAAACAAGCACTAGAACAAAACACTTAAATTGAGAAATCAAAGAAACATAAAATTGTTCTAAAGAAAATGTGTTTCTTTTATCTGTCAACAAATAAGAAAGCTGGAATAAATCAGATGGTATACTATCTACTAAGGATGTGCATCTCCATAACTGAGGCCGATGCATAGCCAACAATACGATACATTAAAGATACATATGCATGTAAGCACCTACCGATGCGATGCGATGCGATACAATTCACCCCTATTACAGATGTAGTGTGATCCGAATTTGATTCGATTCAACACAATGTGATTCAATGCAATACAATGCAATGGGGGGAAAAATTATGCTAAGTAATACAGTATGGTACAGATAGTCTGCTTTTATTTCTTTGGTACAGACAGCCATGTTAATCTATATTCTATGTGACTCTCAGGACAAGCCTCTAAATAATAAAAGTATAGCGTATCCACTAATAATTATATATAAATCTGTTTTTACGGATGCAAATATGTTAGAAAAAATGCATCGCGATACAAATGCCAACTTGTATCAGATGCACACTTTCTTAAATCTATGCATTACATCGTTAACTTTTATACTGATGCGAATCGGTGAATCTTACTATCCCTACTAACTACTAATCACATGACAATAAGGAGAAAGCTATAAAACAAACTAGTGAGTATGAGTTCGGCATGATGGCAACAACCTATGTAGCCTCATTTAGCCACTTTGTTAGCAACTGCATTTTTCAAGACATATACAGTAAAAAAACATTTTGAAAATCAGGAGTGAAGTGTAACTAATTTTTTTTTTTTTTTTTTATGTTTTAGAATAAAACATGAAAATAACTTGAGCCTGTGTTAACCACAGACCTTATTTCAGGCATTTAACTAAAAACCCATTAAAAAAAACACTCTGAAGTATAACTATTTTTTTTTTTTTTTTTTATGTTTTAGAATAAAACATGAAAATAACTTGAGCCTGTGTTAACCACAGACCTTATTTCAGGCATTTAACTAAAAACCCATTAAAAAAAACACTCAACTTCAAGATGATGGCACCAGAAGATGCAAAGACATTTCCAGGTTTTTGGGCTCATTCCTGCAGCACTCTCTTTAAATGAGCCTTTTTCCTTTTTACTCTTTTAGCTCTGATAAAAGCCCATGTGCTGAAACGCATTAGCAAACACAAGACAGCCTCGAGTTCAATCTTTTGATTCTTTGATTTCTCGATTCTACAAGTG